AATATTCGAATAAGTCATTTTTTCGAATCCTCGAATGAACAAATTTATTCGAATAAAGCCCTTTTTGATTTACTCGACTATTCAAGTAATCGGAATTGGACTTCCACGAGTATTCGACTATTCGAATTTTCGAATAGTCGAATATTTCGAATGAATTATTCGAATACGAATATTCGGTTCCAACTATAGTAGTGGAAAATGCGGCAAAGGAAATGTAAATCCTTTTTTGTTCTCGGCTTTTGTCCTATTCTGGGTAGAGCCGCAGTTGTATTCTGAATGAAGGGCAAAAATCCAAGTGGAGACAAGTGAGAAGCCAAAAAAGGTTTAAAGAGGACTTCGTAGATATTTTCAAATCAAAGAGGACTTTATTTGAAAATCTCCCCAGTTGGTGCAGAGTTCTGTTAGGGTCAGTCAATTTATTCACTTTTTTTCAAAAGTTTGTTCCCCTGCGAACCTGGTCTATAATTGTCGGTGGATGTTATTCCAAGAAGGAGGTAAGTCCCTTCTAATGTCATTTGCAGGAGCGGACCTCCGTTGTCTCTCTAAAAATAAATATGCTGGTTGATATCCGGCTACATCACAGATGTGTTCAAAATCTTCTTTGACCATAGTATCTTCAATGTTCAAAAGTTTTCTAGCATTCGCGAAAACTGCAAGAACCAGTGAGATTTGTAGTGAAGCTACAAGTCCCTGTCAAAATCCGCTAAAAATGTTTCAAAGCGCAGAGGTTACAATAATCGTAGAGAAAAAACTCACTTTGCGGTATTCAGACTGCGAATTCTTGCTAAAACCCAAAATTGTTGTGTAACCTTTATCCTCCTGCACAGCTCGGTATCTTACCGACTGCATTACTGGAATGTGCACTGAGAATTTAGAGGAATATGACGGAGAAGAAATAAATAATTCTGAGTTACAAATTTTTGTATGATAACCACTCAATATAGAAAAAATGGAGAAGCACTTACACTTCGAGAGCTCTTCTGGCGGAGCTGGTGGGCTTTCGAAACGCATTTTCGCGCATGAACTAAAGGTTGGGTTACGGTACTGGGGTCTACCAGTTAACACCATTAAAGACTGAGAAACGCAATTTTGCACAGCAATCGCCTTTCAAAGAACCAAAAAAGAAAAAGCAAACACCGAAAATCCAGCTTTGTGTATTTTTGCTTTGCGAAATCGTGATATCGCTATTCATTGTAATGATATGATAGTTTGTGTACTAGTGACTACTGATTATGAGAGGTTAGCACTCAGTCAGCCTTTTTCAAAGACGTTATCACTTGCCAAAGTGGAATTTGGAGAGACAATTTTTCTACTCAGCAGCTTCTCGCATCTTGCGTGCGTACTATTACAGGATGTTACAGATTATAACGCAGTACTAAAGCGAGCTAAAAGTTTTCTATAATGAACAAAGAAACACAATATGTGAACGAGGTGGCTTGTGCAATGACAATTTTTGACCTACGCATTTTCTTTGGCTTCTTGCTTACCGAGATCTCCTCTTCGTTTTAGTATATTGTATACTTTATCGATGTTGTAATCAAGATACGCTAGAGTGTAGTTAGCAGTAATAGCACTAGGCCCATTCGACATTTGGACAAACTGCTTACTCCCGTTCCCGTATCCAATGGATTGTATCCTTTCTGGTCCAAGAATCACAGTTCTCGCTCTGGCCGGAGTAACAGCTGTGACATTCACCATCTCATTCAGCTCTATCAGAGCAATATCGCAGCAAGGCGGATGTGGAGCTCTTGGATTGTAGCTCGGGTAAACTTTTATCTAAACAAAAAGCTCAGTCGTTATAATTTATATTTGTTGCCCCACTTACAGATGAAACCTTAGGAACTATCCTGGCGCTCTCGAAGATAACACCAACTCTTTCTTTTGCTATTATTGGTTGGACCCTAAAACCTACTAGTACCAAGTTCTGGAAGCTTGGGTTTTCTCCAACAACATGCAGTTGTTGCAGAAAAAACCATGCAGCGCAAAAAAAACTTTCTTTACCGTATTTGAAAGTGCTTAAGAGTTCTTCCACTTGATGTATAATAGAACATGTAGGCCAGTCCTTACTTTTTGAGTTTTTTTTCTGCTTTTGAGCTACACCTTAGCATTTCGTAGCACCGCGAAACGGCCCTATATTCTGCGGCCCTTTTATGGTAAGACTCAAGTGCAGTCAACATTTTGAATTGTTTGGAATCTCTCGAAAACGCCCATAAAATCTTCAAAGATATACGGTAAGCTCTATATCGTGTGTTAGAGTTACCCAGATTATTTTTTTGCTAATGAAATAGTAAGAATTTACCCTTGAGGATACTTGGAAGAATTGTAGCATACGCAATGTGCAGAGGTCAGGATGTAACGTTGTGTAATCAACACACCGGTGCAAAATGGTTCCATTTGTCCGTTCAAAGCTTTTTCGAACCAGGGGAGAAATGGTTTTCCTTAGCGATTTGTAGAATAACTTCCAGGTTTCACATTAAAACATAAGCTTGAGTACTCACCCCGTTCGGCCAATGCAACAACGAAGGGGTATTGAGAAACTTCAACTCGGGTGCGGCGCTTCAAACGTATTGAGGAGGAATCTGCGATGTTATGCAGTTGAAGTAAAGTATTGCATAATAGAGTATGGAAACCAGTACACAATTTCCACACATAGATATAAAATGCAATTTACGAAAAAAACAGTTCTATTGAAAGTTCCTTCTGTAAAGTTTCGATCAACGTACTCTAATTAGGTTCGCGCTAAAACCGTGTTTTGCAGGTCAGCTAATGTTATCTAGAAAACCTTCCCTTACAAAGAAAACAAAAGCGGTATTGTTAGAGCTCATCTTGAAGAACATGAAATTTACTGTTCATATTTGATTACTGAGGTATCACGTTATGTGGGAAGCTAAAACAACTGA